AGTTGGGAAAATGAAAGAACATTACTGTAAGACAGCCAACAGCTGTACTAAACTACTTTTTATTCAAAGTTAAGAGTCTCTTCAGAGTTGGTAATTTTTTTGGAAGTTTAATGTGACATTTGGAATAACTGCACACTCAAACCACACCGTGGAGTCCTCCTCTGCTTCTTCACATAAAGTCAACAACAGTTTGACAGATCTTTTAGCATATTCTTCTTCTTGGAAAATGTCTGAGGAGTCTTTCAAAAATGTCGCCTTTGTGTGCAAAAGGACCAAAGGTCATTACAGGATATTTGTAAGTCATGGTGACAGATTGGGTGTTTGCTGGAATGAAGGTATGAAGGTCAGATACTGTACACAAACATGCACGCACACAGACACACACAGACATCCAGTGGGAATCAAGTAAGGCTCTGTGGCACGAGGCTCAATAAATAAATAATTTTAGGTGTATCACTATTTGTTTGAAGTCCTTGCCTTGGAAATTATTTTTTGGACATTTCTGCAAACATTTCTGTGAACAGATGAAAGTGAATCAGTCAAACAAATGACACATAAAGTTGACATTTTGTAATCATTTTGATTCTTTAAATGAACAACCAACAAATCACAGTGGGCAGCACAGCAGGGCAGTGGTTTATACTTTCGCCTCACAGCTAGAGAGCTTGGCTGGGATTTCTCCTGGTGTTCTGGCTTCCTCCTACAGTCCAAAGGCATGCATGATGGGCTCATTGATAATTCTAAGTTGGCCGTAGGTTTGTGTGTGAGCGTACAAGGCTTTTTCTGTCTCTCTGTGTTGGCCCAGTGATGGACTGTTAGTCACATGGAAAGTTTATTATCCATGTGACTTTCCCACACCTTCAAGTCTGTAAAATTGGGGCCCTGGATTGGGTGCTTAAGAGTAGAACCTCCTTAGTGTGTGACACGTGGAACCTGTGTCCTTGCTTTTGAGTTGTGTGGTGTTGTCTTCCGAGGAACTAAACAGCCATCTAAGGGTTTCAAAAAAGAAAAAGGGGTAACCTTAAAGTGGCATCAGTTTGAAACAACTGCCAGTTTGTCTAGGAAAGGCCACCCCAATATATTCAGCCCATGAGCAGACCGTTTGATGCATAAAGTTCCCAAGATACCCAACTTTTCATCACAGGATCTGTGGGTAACTATAGCAGCTGGAGGTCAAAGTGCATGAGTCTACAGTCAGAAAGGAACTGCACAAATGTGATCTTCATGGGAGGTGGGCCAAGAAAAAGCCTTTGCTGTCCAAAAAGAACATTAAAGCAAAACTACAGTTTGCCAATGAACATATAGACAAAGACCAGACCATTTAGAATAATATGCTATGGACAGATTAATCTAACATAGAGCTGTTTGGTCACAATAGCAATGGACAAGCTTGATGCAGGCAAAAGGCAGTTTTTCAGAAGGAGAACGTCGTACCAACTGTGGGGCAGGGTGGTGAAAATGATACGGGCAGTTTACAGTCATTGACTTAGCTGTAAATTCTGAATCATATCAAAGAGGGCTTGGAGATAATGTGAGGCCATCTGTCTGTAAGTTGGATGCAACAGGATAGTAATACTAAGCAAATCTACCAAGGAGCATCTCAAAAAGAAGAAATTTGGGGTTATGGAATGGCCAAGTCAGAGAAAAATAAGGGGATTGGGTTAAAACAGGTAGTAATTGCAGGAAAACTCTTAAATGTTTTACAACTGAAGGAATTCTGCTTGAAATAATGGTCAAGTGTTAATTATTAGACTGCTGGACAATCATGTAGAATTTCTACAAGAAGTTATTTTGGCTAAAGGAGACAACACTGGCTTCTGAGGTCACAAAAGAATATCACATCTCTTAATATTTTTGTTGAGTAAATGATTATACAACCGTATTTTCCTTGTGGCACTATTAAATATAGTATAGTATAGTATAGTATAGTATAGTATAGTATAGTATAGTATAGTATAGTTTAACACTGTCATCTGTAGGCATTGTATCCAACAGGATTAGTATTGGTCAAAATATGTCATAAAGGCCACCAATTTCCATGGGATGTACTTACTTTAACAGATGACTTTATACAGATCTATGTGTGCACGAGGCTACAGTTTAAGGGATCAAACAGGTAAGCTCTATAAATCCTCCTCAGCGTGTTTCTCTGCAGACTCTTGTCTCCTCCTGCCTTTTAACATTCCTCTGAACAGACCTGTAAATGCTACAACCTCGACTTTATGGTTATTACCAGCTCTCTCTTTCTGTGCATAAACTGTATCTGTCTCTTTTGATGGTGATTTGTGTTCAAAGTGTGTAGGGTGTGTGTGTGATGTTGGACAGTGGAAGCTGTGGTTAAGGCAAGAGGAGGGGACATACAGTAAAAACTGCCAGTGTCCATCTTCTAAATATCCTCCTCCCTGCTCTGCCTTTGCACACAGCAGTACAGAACAGTCAGTCCTCTCCTCTCTGTTGATCAGTGCTGCAACGTTAACACTGCAGTATATCTCTGAGCACACAACCTGTGGTTACAGTGATTTATAGCTGTGAATCAGCTGCTGTGTCACACCGTTTATTTAGGGGCCAGCAGTGAGATTTTCAAATACGACCAAAGTGCACCGTCTTAAGTTAAAATAAGCCATTTTTAGCTACTGTTCCTCTGACATATCACAGCAACATGTCACAGTTACATGTCAGAATTTTTGATTCTTTGGCTACTGATTTATCTGATATGAAAAGAAATAGAGTAATAACAGCAAACAGTCTGTCATCATCAGAGTTATTCCAATGATTTCTAAGCAGCATCCTCTTGGGGAATGTTTTGTGTGTAAGTATGTATGTTTATGGTAGAAATGTGCAGTTTGGAGAATTTGTAAAATTTGAAAAAGTGATGATGACGAGCTTTAGTTACTTGGCGATGGAGTTTGTTATCTTTGCACAGGGCCAGGTAGCTGTTTCCCTTGTTTCATGTGTTTATGTGAGGCTTACTAAATCATGCATGAAAGAAAATGAACATTTTTCCCCTGATATTGAACTACTTCTTTGAGGGACAGCAAATAATGAAGGAGGGCTAAACATCCACAGACACTTTCATGTTTCTTCTGTTGTCAGTTGTTGTTTCATTCTTTACTACAATTTGTTCCATCTGTCCTACAGATAAATTCAATAAAACAATATAGAAGAAAAAAATCACAGAACGTCATCACCACTTACAATGTGTTCCATTCTTCAAACCGCACAGCTTTTGTAACGTCAACCTTTATAATTTACAGCTTTTATCATTTGCTACTGAATATTACTGGACTTAAACGTTAAATGTAAAATATCTGTTGTGGTCCAGCGTTTGGCTGTTTGCAGGACACAGAAGTCTTTGTATGAAATGTCACCAGTGAGGAACCTGCCGATTGAAACAAGAGTCTTTGTTCAGTGAAGTGAATCATTTAAATATGTTTCATACATCAGTCAAAGGCTGTTGAGTAATGGCGTGGGCTGATTTCCAAATGCCTTTATGTGCAGTCATGCATCAGCGCGAACTCTCTGTTCTCCTGCATCAGCATCTCTGAAAGAATATTGACAACAAATGGAGAAAGTTTCATTTTGTAACCGTGGACGTAGTGTCATGACTGCATGCGCATGTTCTCTGAGGAAATTAACATTTACAGCAAACACTGTGATGTTACAGCAACGTCACAGACAACTGAAAGTTTTACACAACTTGGTTTGTCTTTTCTTCATTTTGGAATTCAATTTGCAGTGATAAAATTACCGTCAGCAAATTAAGAGTTAACGTCTGTGAATGCGATAACACTAATATCAGGAATGATGAGGGCCGCGAGCTGCCGTCAGCCTTCGACTTCGTGGAAATCACTCGCTCGCTCTTCGTCAACTGATCCCTTCTGAGGGACAAATGAGTTGTGCAAAGTTTGAGGGCAGCCACAATTTTTTTGAGAGAAAAGAAAAGCAAAAAATAACATTAATATCCACACTTTTTTTTGTGAAAGTTTTCTGCACCTCACAGCTTCACACCCACATAAAACATTCTTGTAATAGCAGTTGCTGATGGAGTGAAAAACTTTTCCTATTGTCAAGTAACAAGCCCAATTCTGGTGTTACCGCAAGTTAATAAGCTTTCCTCGGCAATCGTGGTTCCCGCATTTATCAACCGCTACAAGTTGGCAACTGTGCATGGTATGCTGTATGTCTCAGACTGGGAAATATAGACCACCCAACTTTAACGTGATGAAGCAAACTGTCTGACATTTTAAATAAAAAATGTTGCCAACAAATATACAGAATGTGCTGTGTGTACATAGAGTAAAGTGAATGCATATGGAATTCTGAATAGATAAGAAGTAGTGTAGTATAAATTAGGCATACAGTATGATGCATATAAACAGTATGCAGGAATCTATAGGTAATACATGGAGAAAATATATACATTTAAAAGAGAAAGAAGATGTGTTATAGTATACAAACTGTGTATGTATTTGTAACATAAATAATACTGTAAATAATACGTAACTCCATTTTTGTAGATTTTCAGAAAACTTTTTTTTGTTGTTGTTTGCTTGAGATAAAATAAATCAAACTGAAGTTGAGTTGATTTGACTCAGTAGAAATGACATAACAAAAATAGAGATAACTTAAGTTTGATTGGTATTGTCTCACGTAGACGATGGAAAAGTGGGTTTTCTGAAGGTTTGTGAAGATGCAGTTATCTATTTTTTCACAAATGAACTCTTCAAATATAGTTTATCCTTAATTAAAGCACATTGTTTAATGGCAAGCACTTATACACAATATGCATTTATATAATTTGTTTGGGGGGGGGTAATTTGAGGAAATTTTAACTGTTATTTCTCAAATTCCACATGTTTTGGGCATTTTATGAGAATACCCTTTTCTCCACTTTTCTCTCTGTCTATATCAACTGGTTTATATGGGGACTCTTCTCAATATCCACATGTTCATGACAAAGTTTGAATTTAAAGTGTGCATCTGTCCTCTCTCTCCGGCAGGTAACCACATGCTGTTACGAGTGCTGCCCTCCGTCTATCCCAGACAACCGGACACCATCCACCGTCACCTAGGAAACCTTACTGCAATGATGTCACAGCTGGAATCCCCAGAGCAACAGCACCTTATCAGACTTATTCAAATAGTTGCAGAGCAACATCCACTTGTAAGTGCTTGTGTTGTGTTTTTTGGTGAAGTTTCATGGTTCGAAATGATGCCCAATGTCCTGTGGATGAATCAAGCTGTTTATTTTTACTTTTTTGTAACTGCATGAGCCAAAATACATAGCATTCCCACTTTAGCAACCTAAATATAATAGAATTATAACTTTCATACCATTTTAAACTTTTTGTTGGCACTACCTTTGCGAGCCTTGGAGTAACCGACACTTAAGACAAGCAACCTTCCAGCTGTATTGCATACTATTATATAAAGTGAGGTATTTAATATTGGAAGTGTGGAATCAACTGAAAATAATGCACTTTCCAAGTAAATCAGACCTAAGATTTAAGTTGGATTTGGCTTCCAGTGAAGTATGTGTGTGGCTTTTTATAACACTCGTGCCGAAGAGTCAAAATTAATCGTTTAATCCAGCTTTATTCAGTAATGAGCTCAAATCAAAATGTGGAAAATTCATTGGAACATAGATAGAACTAAGGTACTGGAATAAAAATTTCTCAGCAGGAATTCCCTTAATCCTGCATATTTTGGAGCGGAGCTGCTGATGTTCAACCTGAGGGGGAAAGTACCACATACCAGCAAACAGAGCGCCTGGTGGTGGAAAATGGATCGTCTCACTCAGTGGAGCAACAAAACCAGCCATCTGGAGTTATTCTAATCTGCACCCCCCACACAGACGCTACAAAATATTTGTGCTGTGATTGTAGCCGCATTCATCCCAGGAGTTACCAAACTGTTCACTTACTGGAAGTGAAGCAGTATTGAAAAGATTTCAATTGATATGGAATTCTCATCTTATGTAAGTTTACTTCTCAGTTGTAGAACATTGTCTTCCTGACAAACAGATACTGTTTGATGTTAACATAATCATTCAGAGCTAGTAGCTGGCAATGGTGGCCATTGTTAGTCCACTGGTGCAGTCTATTGTTACCAGTGCAGATAATGAGGAGGAACTGTTCATTCACTCAATGTGTCCAGACAGTCCTACAGTCAAGCTTTTGTTTATTATCAGTCACCAGTCCCTTAATCTCGCTCCAAGGTCACTCCTCTCACCTCCAGCCTTCATTAAAGGCATCAGGCCTCTTTTTGGTTGAGTTTGTTAATGACAATAGACAATGCTTTATTTTTCTTTAATTCTTCTTCCCTCTCCTTGTCTTGCTTTCTTTGTTTCTTCTATGCAGATGTTGAGCCCTCAGGTGCCTACGTTGGTCAGTTACCTAGGTGACCAGTCCTTGACTGAGGCTCTATTGGGTGCTCTCGTCGATGTGTCACAGGCCAGCCCTTCCTCATTGGTCAGCTTTCTGCCAGCACTGAGGATTGTGGCACAGCAGTGTCCTGCTTTCTTGGGTCACGTGGCCAAAATCCACGGTGCTGTGGGCATCATCAGTGAGGTAAAGACATACACTAGGATGAAGGTTAATGTACATTTTTTTGTAGTAGTGGTTTGGAGTTGATATAGAAGGAGGAAGTGTGACTTTCACATGCACTTCAGGTGTGTTCAGACTGATGAGAAGGAGGAAGTTTTGTAAGTATGTGGAAAGGTGGGCTTGAATGTTAGCAGGTATATTTTAATATGTTGACTATGACTAAGAGGGTAGGATGTATGTTGTGTTGTGCAAGTGTCTTCAGGCAACACACTGAACCCCAAACTAATCCCCAGATAGTCAGACCATCACATAACATCAATGTGTCCATGTGTGTTAATGAAACAAGAAGCAACATGGCAAAGCACTCTGAATAAAAGCACTAAATAAATGGTATTTACCTTTCATTAAAGCAAATCAACTCAGTTAACTCCACCAGGAGTGTTCATAATCAATAGGAACAACAGGGTGTAAGTGAAATAACAGAAACAAATAGAGATCTTCAGACCTGGTTTCAGAACAAAATGACTTTGGGTGCATTTGAAATTAATGTCAGGGCAGACTCCTAAAAGTGATTGTTGTCTGCCATAAAGTGATTATCAAAAGTTTATATTCATTTACAGCTGCTATTATCTGGATCAACAGCCAAATACACGTAGCTTTATGTTTGTCAGTGATAACAGCAAGGGGATGTCTTTCAGAAACTTGAACCGAATAATGATATTCATAATAATAATACTACTACTAATAATAATAATGATAAAGAAGCATGACATTATTCTGATTATAGGCAATATTGTGTTGTTTCCTTATTTTATGTGTGTTTGGTATGTCCAAGCTAGTAGTTTAGGCTTCGAATATTTTTAAACTAGATTGTAATTACCATGATTTAGAGGTGGATAACATCGGAAGTAACACCATCAACAGCAATTCCGCATACTGTTATGATAAACATATTCTGCTGGGACACAGCTGGAAGAAGTCGTAAACACTATACAGTGTTAAGTGAATACAGAATGTTGTTCCTTGTGTTTGCGTTTGTGAGTCAGAACAGCACTCGTACCCTCAAACTTCAGCGGCCAGCCTCAGGTGGTGAACGCAACATCTGCTTTGCCATTTGACCCAAAATTTCTACAAACATAGCACAATATAGCAGAATTGTTGCAAGGATATTTTAGCCATTCTCTGTTTTTAAACGATGAGCTACAGAAGAAACATCTCACGCCACTGTATGTAGGAGCCAGGTATATTTTCAGACACCTGCACAGGCTCAGGTGGGGGGTGAGCTGGTGAGTCTTTATAATGAATTTGCTGCTGTTAAGATTACTGTTGTCTCCATAATTTACTTGTATACGGCTGTGGAGACTGTGTTGCTGCCAGTTTTGTATTTCAGCCTCTCTGGCCATTTCGCAAATGTCCATATGATCATATTTAAACAATTAGCACGGCCGTAGTGTTTCCACTCACAACCCACAAGTTATGGACCACGCATTTGTCATTCAGATTTTAACTGAGAATGCGATGCTCGCTTTTGCATCCCTGCAGAACTGGGACTGGAGGTCCTTGAAATCTGTTCAACTCTTAAGAGTTTGTTACACAAAGATCACCAATCTTGTTGCATACTGTTAGCTCTTTAAAGCAAATGTGTGCATTGTTGGTACACTGGTTGACTGTAGCGAACAAAGACAGGTAACAAGAACACTCACAACAACAAAATTATATGAGAGTACTGCTACTGATGTTGGCCTGATGGTATTTATCGACACACACATACAAAGACACACACACACAGAAACAGACAGGAGTGATTATTTTAATGAGCAGGGATGAATGGGCTGCACACTCATATGACTTGTTCTCTGTTGTTCTGCCAAGTATAAAACACAGACTCCCACACCGGACAGGCCGGGCAGATCCGGAGGTTCTGACCGATGTTTAACACCTACATCAGTGTTCCGTGGATGCGTCTGTCTTAAAACAAACACATGCCAACTCCTGTTTCGCCTCAGAGGAGGTCAGAAACTGTTGTCCTGGTGAGAGAGAAAAATACCTCCTTTGAAGGAAAACTGAAGGAGCATTTTAAGCTGCAGCCTAATGGTGCAAAAGTAATGCAATTTAAGGGAACATTAACCTCAGGGAAGGTACTTGGTTCAGTGTGTGGTGAAAAAGGGAGACTCAACTGTATTCTCCAACAAAACGAGCAGTATTAGATTAGGTTCACATGTGTGACAAATATCTTTATTTTTAAGTGCGTGCATGTTATTCATATCTGTATTCAATTTTATTCGCACCAATTTGATGAAAAGGCATTTTGTGGCTCAGAACACTACTAATACAGAGTGACAACTCCTGCTACATCTTGTTAGTTCACATTTTGTAGGAGATTTGGAAAACAAAAATTTGTTTTGAAGGAGACTAAATCCGTCCCATGTGGCTCATTTTGGCCAATCCTTTGGTTAAACACTTGGCTGCCCATTTGCCACTAATAGCACTTCAACCCGAAGTAAAAAGTGATGTTTCAGCTGTTACTTGACTGTGATTGGAGGCCACTTCTAAAACACTTGAGCTGGTGATTGCAGGTTAATTAGAGGAGCAAATGGAGCAAACTGCGAGGTGGCATTGCTGCTGACTGATGGGCTGGAGAGTTCGGGTGTGATGTAGGTGGAGGAGTCTCAGACATGCAAACAGTGAAAGATCTGTCATTCAGTCTTTATGTCTCTGACAAAGCAGAATTAGCAGCATTAGCACTAGCAGCATGGCTCCAACAATGTGGTCGGTTTGTCGGCAGATCTAACACTTTGATCCACATTAAAATATTTCACCAACTATTGGATGGATTCTTAAAACTTAAGATATTCATGGTATGTAGATGGTGTATTTCTACTAATTACGCTGATCTTAAGACTTTTTTGTCACACTGTAATGACTTATTGACTCTGTAATGACACATTAAGTGTCTTGACAGATGTTGGATTGATTTCCATTAAACTTAGCGAAATTCATTTATTCTTTAGGCTAATTGTAGTAACTTTGGTATCCGTTAACTTTATCCGAAGATGCATCATCAGGATTTAACTTTTCATTTGTCTAATATCTTGGTAAACGACCAAAAGTCATTCCCTTCAGTCTCAGGTGTAATGTCGTTAGGGTTTGGTGCTCATTAGCAAACATTAAACGAGCTGTACTCGACTCAGTTTGTCAGTCGAATTGGAACTGACTGTTCAATATGAATATTTGACAATTTGTTTCTGTTTTTTATAAAGACTATTTGGCAATCAGAAAATCTATTGGCATGAATTTCAGTGATAATTTTGACATTTTAACATTGCCAAATGGAACAGAGACCTGAGAAGAAGTTTCTGAGTATTTAAAAGTTAACAAAAGACAGCTGTTTATGATGCAAGATGTGAACTGTGGGCCCATTGTATTGAATTGCTGACATATAATGTTCGGCTACCATATGTCGAAATAATGAGAATGGCGGCGCACATGTATTTCTATTTATAGCTTTCTGTCATAGCTTACTTTTTTAGTTTCACAGACAAGGGCGGCTGTGGCTCAGGTGGTAGAACGGTTGTCCTCTGATCCTAAGGCTGGCGGTTCGATCCCCGCCCCCCTCCACAGTCGAAGTGTCCTTGGGCAAGACACTGAACCTGAAGTTGTTGCCATGCAAGGCGCTAGCCTGCCATTGGGAATTCCACAGTCAAAGTATCCTTGGGCAAGACACTGAACCTGAAGTTGCTCCCAATGGCAGGCTAGCACCTTGCATGGCAGCTCTGTCACCATTGGTGTGTGAATGTGTGTGTGAATGGGTGAATGAGAAACATTGTTAAGCGCTTTGAGTGCCGCTAAGTTAGAAAAGCGTTATATAAGTGCAGTCCATTTAAGTGCAGTCCATTTACAAGACATTAAAAACAAAATGAAACACACCTGCAGAGGGTAAACACACTAAAATTAGATAGTGAAATTATTTTTGCTTAACATATTAGCATTGCTCTCCGAGTTCTTCGGCTTCTACCCACCCAGTCCAAAAACATGTTGAGGTTAATTGGTGATTCTAAATTGTCTGTAGGTGTGGATGTGAGTGTGCTTGGTTGTCTGTCTCTAAGTGTAGCCCTGTGATAGACTGGCGACCTGTCCAGGGTGTCTCCTGCCTTCACCATAAATCAGCTGGGATAGGCTCCAGTCCCCTGTGACGCTAGTGAGGATTAAGCGGTGTGTAGATCATGGATGGATGGATGCTAGCATTGTCATTGTGAACACATAAGTAGAGCCTGAGATTGCTAGCATGGCTGCGTATGTTTTGGTTTGTTTGCCAAAAATTAACATGAAATTAAAACTTGTAATTGTTCTGTTCTTATTTTCCTTCCTTCCCATTTGAAAGTGGTTCATTTTGTTAGCTCCATTAAAAAAGACGACAGCCTTACTTACATGATTTCAAGAGACACAAAGCTTGAAGTCAAGGCAATGCCAGCATGTGTTGTTCAGACATAGTCAATAATACAGGAGCGCAACACTGTTTGCAAATACATACAGTATGATGAAGTCACACTGTACAGTCTGTGGTGGATGTTCAGAGGGATAAAAGTGACAGCAAGACAGCTATGGTCCCCCACTTTCTTTTTTCCTCTGGGTCCATTTAAGACAGTTTGACAACAATTTGGGGAAATTAGCGAAAAGGCAAAATATATCATGACTGTCTCGAGATGAAGTGTTCCCCCTCCGCACATGCATTTATCAGACACACTCACATACGCACAGATAGATAAACACACACAGAAATTGTGGGGCTGGAAACCATAATATAGTTTTCTATTACTCCAAGGCAGAGTTTCCTCCAAAAGCTCCCTTCCTCCTCAATCTTCTTGTCAAAAAACCTGCCAACCCTGCTTCAGCACACACACAAATACACGCACACAGTTTGTTGAAGCCCAGTGTCCTGTCTTTCTTCACATTGGAACCATTTGGAAAATAACCCATGTTTTCTGGGAAATGCCCCTGCAGAGGCCTCCTGGTGATGGCAGTGGAGAATGCCTCCTATGGGTTCGTGTTTGTGCCCTACAGACACACACACACACACACACACACACACACACACACACACTTTCACACTGATAGGATGCATTTGTACTCGATTGCACAATTCTTTCTTTGGCTCCCTTTACCTCCTGTGGGGAGTTAGTCTATATTATTTTTCTGGACTTATTATATTTAAAGAAATTGCTATACACTGTAGACTTCTGTTTAGTCCAACAATCCTGCAGTAAAAATGCCCTCTGACAATATGATAATATAATTTTAATATAGTATATTTGCTACTGGCATCAATTCAACTCTATAGCCATTTTGAAAGCCACAGGGGGTGATTATGGTGAACAGATTGAAATTAATTTTACAGGCTCTCTTTCTTTTTTTTTCTTATTTTGAAATTAAACAGTATAGCTGTGCAGACATAGGATCACAAGATGGAGCTGGATGATGATCAAGTCTGAAAAGATGATGGAACATTATATTAGTTTATAGTCATTCCTCTGAGAAAAAAAAAAACATCTTTTATTTTTTGAACATATAAGTGGATAATACCTTAAGTAAATGTCTTGTAAAATCCTTAAAATGTGATAGTAGTGGAAACACTGATAGGATTTTACAGGGCAAACAATCTGCAGTTAGAATAACTGATATACTCAGACATATTTTTGCTAGTTTTCTCCCTTTTATCCATTAATAATGGTCATTAAATTGATCAATATACACACTAATATTAAACTGAGAGAGCCACTTCGGAAATCCTCCACAACTGAGCCATTTGGGCATAAATCTAAAACGTCTTTCCCATGATATACAGTATACACTTACTGTCAAAAGTCATTACTTCTATCTGGGACAAAACACAGACTCATGAACACAAACAAACAGCAGAGCTGCTGTGCCAGACTGCAGCTCCAAAGGAAGCAGAGGGATCCTGATGGAGAATCAGGAGAAGCTAAGTGACTACGCAAACAAGAAAATGCACTTAGAGTGGACGGCAGCAGGCCGACTGCCACAGCACTAGCTGTGGAAACACAGGGGCTTTCTGATTGATGGCAAAGCAACTGACATACAGAAGAAGACAGAAAAGAAATAGACTTGTCCCTGAACTGATGCATTGTTTTGTAAGTCACTGAATTGCTCAAGATTTTATGATTTTACCACACCCACTGCACATCTGATATGGTTTTTCAGGGATGATACAGAGTGTTAGCAATCAAAGACAGCAAAAATTTTGAGACAATATGCATTTGCTATTAAAATGATAACAAAACTTTGTTTAATATGTTTAATTAAGAGAGCTTTTTAGCATTTATTCTTCAGTGTTAATTCGTTAGTATTTGTAATATGTAACCATTTAGATAATGGTGAGAGTGAGAGTGCTAAATACAGATAGGAAGAGGTGAGTACATTGGAGCCAAAGTAGTGCTTTTTGAAATAAATGTATTTTACCAGGAGTCAGGTAAAAAACTAATAACGATACCTACAATTTGAAAAAAAAAGCTGATGGAAACAGAAATGCAAGAGCCTCGGTGTGTTTTTTTTTTTTTTTTTTTTTACAGTATGTGTTTGTGTCTTTGTGCACATGTGAAGCAGAAAGAGCTTATTTCTGTCTCCAGATTCTCTTCTGCAGAGCTGCACTTTGGATGGCCATCTGCTCCCCTGCCATGATTTTTGAAGAACATGAAAACAAACAATTAAAAAAAAATAACGAAACAGTTAACATTTGGTTCTATTTTTAAGATCTTCCTGTTATTGTCCTTTTTGGCAGGGCTTTACATCATTTTTTAAAAGTTATTAGTTAAACTCCTGATGTGTTTAGGACATGAAATCAAGGCCAAGTGTTTTTTTTTCCAAACAATTAAACACAGTCTGTATCATTTGATGATTAAGGAGCGCCTCAGATGACCTGGCAGGCTTTAGATACTATTACGGTAAAATGTCACACTTGTAAACTGTAAATGATGTGAGTTCTGCTTGTGCAGTAATAGTTGGAAGTGTTGCAGTAAGTCCCTAAAAAGGAAAAGCATCTCAACAATAAAAGCCTGAACTGTGGTACAGAAGAAGCACACGTCCTTGTAAAATCTGGGCATCCTCCTGATTCATTTCTGTGTTGGGCTGCAGAAACTCTTAAATACCTGCTTGGCATGTTGTTACTGTAAAAAAGTCAAGTTCTGCCTTTTCTAGTAGTTTTAAGATCCACATATAAATTTAGTATCCTACCCCGAAGGCTTGTGAAACATGTCTGAACTATGCAGGAACTGCATTCTTTTCTCCTCATTACATAGTGTTTGAGAGCTGTAAGCACAGGTTGGCTCTGCCCGTCCTTCTGTCCCTCCATCAATCAGTCAGTCTGTCAGAGAAGGAAAGCGAGTGCCTAAATGTTCTCATGTTTTAGTCCAACCAAAATGACTTTTTACAAGCTTCAGTTTTGAAGAAAATCCAATTTTTGTTCACAGATGCTGACATTTGGCTTTGATGCTGCCCTAAAACACTGCAGGAGAGCTGTTCGTGGGCCATGCCACCTTTGTTTATCTATTATAACAGTGATTTTTGTGTATAATGGTTCCCACCACTTAGAAATGTCCACATTTTTGGTAGCTAATAGGCTACCTAAATAGGAAGAAATAAAATGTAGTTTGTAGCAGTGTTCCTTTGCAAAACAGTTGTGTGTTTTGATTAACATTCCTAAATCATATTTTTGAATTAATGCACTCCAAGAATATCAAACAAACTGGTTTTAAATCAATAAAAAAGCTGTTTTCATTACTTTTTCAAATGTGTGCCTTTTGTTGTGCAGTCAAAGGGATATCAGTCAAACTGGTGTTGGTTTAATCATTTTTTAGAATGTCTTTCGTCTTTTTTTTTCAAATGAACTCCTCAAATAGTGATTACATGGAGGTATATTTTGCATTTATGAGATTATATTATAATTACAGAAACTTGTACATACACAAGATAAATCTCAACTGTCCTTTGAGAATACAAATATGCACAACACAAGTTATACAGCATACCCTCTTAAGTACTATTTTATGTCAGTGGTGAACAGATTGTATATGTCCTGGATTTGGTGTAAACAAAAAGCAGGCTGGGAATGATGAAATGTGGGTGTTATGACAAAGGCCAAAGGGAAAGAAATTACTTTTGAGAAAAGAAGTTTATATTTTCTAAGTTTCTAAGAGAGCCAACTGCATGTGTTTGTATTTATTATTGTTTCAGGATTTAGAAACAAAAGAAGTTGCACCAAACCCCCCAAACTGCCTGGAAGTGCAAAACTAATGTGCATTGAATTAGATTAAACTCGCTCTTTCTTCACCAAAACACATGTAGTTAAACAACACTGGTCCCAATTTCAACGCACTTAGAAACCCACAACATTAGGAAAAAACATTAAAACTCGATGTGTCTGTGCAATGAAACAACTTCCTCCTAATCTGACTCTTTGTTCATTTACTTTTTCCTTTGTTTAGTTTTACAAGAGGACCAGCATGAATCACGCCGCCAGATACTGTAATGCTAACATTCTTCCACTCTGGCTTTCTCTCTGTTGTCTCGTTCCTCCAGACTCATGCTCACAGCTCATTGGTCTACCTGGTGTCCCTTCTGGGCAGCATGGAGCACAGCTTTCACCACACCCTGCTGCTGGAGATTAGAGCTCTGACTGACCGTTACCCGTCTTTACTGGGGGGCTGTGGCAAAGACATCTACAGGATGAGCAACTCATTCACTGCTATAGCCAGACTGCTGGGAAGACGACTGGAGGAGAAAACAGCCACACATTGCAGGTTTAAAAACACATGTTCAAAAGTTGCAAACAGATTCCCGCACACTGTTTTAACTTGCCAAAATGCTTTTTTAAAAAAAATGTTCCCCCTCAAAGTTTGGGTGATTAACTTAAATGTACAGTTTTACAGAAAAACTGAAAAAATAGTAAAGCACATCATTATTTCTTTATGAAGATGTCAAATTATAATTATTTATGTGCATTCCTGAACAGAAAAATCAGTTGTAGTGGTTGAATGTTGTGCTTGATTCATTTCTGACTTCTCAGAGAAGCCCAGTGAGCCGGCTCAAACTTGGGTATGAAAGGGTAAATTCAGTTTGAAATTCCTCATTCCTGTTCAAAATGGTAAAACATCGAATGCGCATTAAAACGCTTCTTGAAGTGCAGTGTTTAACAAAGTAGACAGGTGGTCTAATAACTTTGTTCAGCATTGTACTGCTTCCCTGTCAGGCCTGTATACATAGAATTAAGTGAGTCACTATAAATAGATTCTTCAGGGCTCCAGAATAGAGGCCTCCTTTAAAGAATGGACACATATTGAGCAGATAGCATTTGAACACCCTCTCTGGTTGTTGATGTAACCTTTAAAAACGTGTCTCCGTGTATCAGACTTGCATGTTTCACAGTTTTTTCATGAACGTAATCTCTTCCTGCCTAAAAATGGCTTTAAAACTCTACACTGTTGCTTCCTTGAGAGTGTGCAGATCCATGTCCCCACCTGCCTCCACTTATCCCGCCCCACTCGCTGCAGCCCCAGCACACCAGCTCACCTACATCTCTGCTCAAACACTGTAAAACTGCTTCACACTTTGTAATTGCCACTTCTAATATTGGAAAAATTCTGCACTGGAAACTGATTATGATACAGAAAGCTCTTCCCTGCAAGTTGACTAGGATCAGTCTGAAACCCCAGAAGTCTTAATCCTTGTTTGAAACTGTCATCGATACACTGCAGTTTCAAGGAGGAAAGGCTCAGTCATGGCACTGACTGCTTACTCCACTCTTGATGTCCTCTAGCATGTAAAACACACTTTATGGACATGTTAACAAGGTAAGGAAAAACCCACAATTTTCACCCGAGGGAGGGTTTAACATAGCATATAGAAGAGGTTAACATCAATATTAGATTTACCTCGATAATGAATTTACTTAAGAGCCTCCACAATAGAACATGCAAATTTAATCAACATCAAGATATGTTCACATGGGCTGACAGCCGAGATATGCACACTTTATGTTATTATGAAACCGCTTAGTGGTCACAACCTAAAGGAAAGGAAATTAAATGGAAAAAGAAATGGATACAGATTTAGCTTACAGTTAAAACTCTGCTTTGACATTGTCTCCTACTTTCTTTATCCTCAGTGGACAACTTTGCTATTTCTCTCTCATATGGTGAAAGCGCTCGCTAATATTTATAGGCCAAATGTTACTAAAATGTTTTTCTTTGCTTCTTTATATCCAGTTCTTTCCTCCAGTGACTCCTTTCATAAGAGCTATGTGTACAATATGTGGACGTCATGAAAAGTGCCTTAGAAAGCTGTATACACGCACAGCATGTGTGGACGGCATGTGTTTGTGTCAGTGTGTGCGCGTTTGCATGCGCATAAGTTGACTGGGATTCATCTGGCTGCAGTGTGGGAATGACACACACAGCTCTCTCTTAAATAAGAACATTGTGTGCAGGAGTGGAGGCTTCCAAAAGCTTTGCTTGGGGTCTTGTGGGAGAACGATAGAAGGAACGAGGAATTGAAAGAGGCAGGGTGGTTTATCAGTGAAAGGGGGGGCAGACAGAGAAAAAACAATAGGGCAGTTGGATGTCAGCGAACAAGTGGATTGTTTAAAGGTCATTTGTTGAAAAAGAAATCAGGACAGCTTGATTATGAAGGAGCTGAGAGACACAGAAATAGAGCCAGTCATCGTGAGAAAGTGAGAAATTACACAAAAGTAACCAGAAGAGCAGAGAGGGGGGGAAAGTGTAGCTGCTGCAAAACCATCCAAGTGTGTCTGTTTAGTTTCATCTCACAGGCACAACGGTTACAAACCAACTTTTTTCTGTGTGTTTGTTTGTTTGTGACAGGGTGGATGAGGCGTGTCCTTCTCCCCATGCAGCTCTTCCAGGTGGAGGAGGAGGAGTCGCGTTGGAGCAGCGGCTGCAGGTGAAGATTCAGGCGTTTGAGGAGAAAATGGGGGAGGAGGAAGAGGAGGAGGTGGTGGAGGACTCTCCTGCCCCCCAGCGACGCTACAGCCTGAGCCAAGCTGTCAGGGAGGAGAGACGTGAGATGAGATTCAACAGGTCAGTTAGCATGTAACAATAACACGACTCTGCTGAATCTCTTTTCAAATCCGACTGGATAGGAAGATTTAATTTTTATGAAGAATAGTCTGTTATCGCTGTTACAGTGAAGCCTGGAGGATTTAAAAGATGCCTGGAGCCAAGGAGACATTAATCTTTGTCTGCTTATTGAAGAAATTCAAGACTATCAAATATTAAAAGACATATTGTTTATTTAATAGAAAAGAAATTACACTTTTTTTTCTTTCTTTTTTTTTTTTACATATAGATGGAGCAGACAGCACTCCATCTTGTGGCATTTACTTGTATTTATGCTGTTGTAGTTTCATGAATTAGTTAAAACTGGAGATAATATTACAACTTTTTTATTTTAAGTTAGTCACATTCATAGCAGGTAAACAGTATGAATCATGACATCTAATTTTGGGGAAGGAAAATAACCGCACACGTAAAGTAAATAATTACATCTATCTTTAAAGTTGTTGTGTCAGTCTCCTGCTTCGTTTTGACTTGTTTTAGGGTCTTTATGCCTTTCAATCTCGTCTTCAGCAATTTTAGTGGCTATACAGGTTGGAATAAAGTCAGATAAACGGTCTGTACAAGAACAGTAAACTAAAACAAACTCAAGACCTTTGTCTGTATGATAGGGAACATTTTATGCATGTTCGTCTTTGAACTTGTAAATATGTATAAAACAGTTTAGGGTCCTACACTGGTTGAGATGTGAAGGCCATAGGCTGAAACAAACTGGTCCAACTGGAAAGTTGTTCCTTATACAACAACCGTTTCTAGATTTTTGATCTCTTCAGACTTCTCCATGCATCGTAGAAATAGGTAACACTGATCTAGATCTCTAGTTTAAAACCCACTTTTAATCCTTAAAACTGAAAGCCAGCACTTTAACACAGTAGTCATACATGATGTGTTGTATTTAAAATGGTTTTAAAAGTTGTCGATGATAGACTCAGATGACTGATTTCTGTTGCGGGACATTTTCAGCAACAGTCTGAAAATAACTAAGTTATACTACTGCAAATTTGTCTTTTATAGAATAATTGATGTATTTGATAGACACAATTTAATCATACCCTGTGATGGACTGGTAATCTGTCCACATGTCCCTGCCTTCAGCCCCTGCAACCCCACAGAGGATTAAGCGGTGTGTCGATAATGGACAGATGGATGGACAATTTATTAAGCAGGATGATAAACGAAAATTCCCGTTAATTTGGGACTCACTCTTTCAGTTTTTCTTTCATTCTTTTAGAGGGTTTGTTTAGTTTTTAGAGTTCAGTTTTACTTATGTTAGCATTTTAGATCTACTTATGGCAGCTACAGTAGTGACATCACATGACACAGAGCTCTGCATAACTAATGGTGGAGTGCCAAATCCTTTAACCATAGTTTACCACAACATATAAATGCTGAAAGAGTAAAACACTGTTGTTTTCAGCAGGGAAAGTTATTCAAAAGAGATCAGCATCATAGGAAAAACATACTTTTGCCCAAAAGTCCTCTTGTCATGGACTAAGATTTTGACATTTTGCTATTTAATATTAATTCTAATTGTTGGAAAATGACTAAATAATGTGTCCTAATCGCATTTTGCTTCAGTGGGGAAGCCACTAAACTAATACCCAGTCACACCCTGGGAAGCATGTGCAGGAAGTGCAGGAAACAGAAGGAATTTAAATGATTGATATTCATGATTTTGCATCATTTTAACTGTTCTTATTTCATGGTTTCTCTCAGGTCAAAGAGCCTTGCTCTCCATGCTGTACGTTCGCGCTCCATCAACTCAGACACTGGGGAGGACTGTGAAGGAGTGGAGCTCAGTACAGAAAATGCTCTTTCCAATACTTTGCCTAATCAGCACTCAGAAAACCAGGAAGCATCACCTGCTGAGAGGAGACTGACAGGTGACTGCTCCCTGCCCATCACTGCTGCCCTGGACAGACGGCTAAAAGAGGCTGAGAAAGGCCAAAGCACAGAGATGGAGGGAGAAAAAGTGGAGCAGGGAGAGGCTGACAGACTCTTCATACATTTAAGAGAAAATATGGAGACCATCAGAGGGTTCTGTAAAGACATGGTGCAGCAGATCCCCATACCGGAGCAGTGTGCGATAGAAGGTAATACAAACATGAGTGCATGCATTCTCTGAGACCAGCAAGATTTATAGCATTATAGGTATTCAATAACATTAAAATGTTTGGTAGTGTTGTACGTGGACTACAAAGAGGGAGTCCACAGAGAAAGGCAGAGGGAGGGTTTACTTAACCTGCTGAACCTGAATGAGATTACAGTCAGATGTGGTGGCTGGGGTTGATTAATGGTATGGTAAGAATACACCCCCCTCCTCCCCTTTCTCTCTGTCCTGTCTTGCTTCACACACACACACACATATTCACAGATGCAGCAGTCAGTAGAGAATTGATTAGGGTCTCTTAAACCTCAAGTGGACAGGGATTTATTTCCCCAGGTGGTGTAGGATGATTTTAATATTGCATGTGCTGATTGCTGATTTTAATCCTGTCCAGAAGGCATATGGGTGTGAGTTCTCCTTCAGCCTCTCACTTACAGTCCTGAATATTTGCTGCATGTTTTGTTCCTCCCATAATTTATAACCTGTCTGGACAGACATCCTACACTATATGTTGTGTCCGGACAATTTGTGTGCCAAAAGCCGTATTTCAAACCACTGAGTCACCAGAACATCATGGGATTTTCCTGTGGAATACATTTGTCTGCTGTAATTTGGTAGCGGTCAAAACTCCCCACCAAAAACAAAAAACCAACTAGTTACAAAGCTGCACAGTATATATTTCTTCCTTAATATCCTTAATTATTATTATTTTTTAAAAAGTCTGTTTAAGTGGTCTTTGACTTTAACATTTAAAGTCAGTGGTAAATCCACACAGAAACAATACACTGTGAGAGTAGTCTCCATTTACTAAAATATTTCTCCCCTGCTGAATTTGACCGGGGTTTACAGTATGTGTAACCCACAATAATAGACACAATGCAGAAGAAACTTTTGGTTTTGAAATGAATGTAATTTGAACAGATCAAAATAGAATTGTTTTTCCACATCTTACGAGTTTATCAGGTCCTGAAAGAATCAAACTGGTGATGTTCTGTTTGTTCAATCAAAGAAATTCACATTTCCTTACTGCTTGTGGAGTCCACTTCTAAACTCTTGTATTCCTATTGAAGAAGTAAATCTTTAAAATGTGGGTCCCATGTGCACTTTAGTATTGGATTTTTTTTTTCTTTAAGCACCTGGTCAGTTGTTTTGAGAAAAATCATTCAGGGAGTGCATCTTGTATGTTTGGGGACTGTTCTCAGCTTTAGTGAGTGTTTATGGAAGCAGGATAGTGTGCATGGGAATAAAGAAACTTATTACTGAGCACGAGCTGCAGGGTGGCGCAGTTGGTAGCACTGTTGCCTCACAGCAAGAAGGTTGCCGCTTCGCGTCCTGGTGAGGGGGCACCGGAATCTTTCTGCGTGGAGTTTGCATGTTCTCCCCGTGCAGTGTGGGTTCTCTCTGGGTTCTCCAGCTTCCTCCCACACAGTCCAAAAACATGTTGAGGTTAATTGGTGATTCAAAATTGTCCGTAGGTGTGAATGTGAGTGTGCTTGGTTGTCTGTCTCTAAGTGTAGCCCTGTGATAGACTGGTGACCTGTCCAGGATGTCCCTTGCCTTCGCCCTGAGTCAGCTGGGATAGACTCCAGCCCCTCCGTGACCCTAGTGAGGATTAAGCGTTGTATAGATAATGGTTGGATGGATTACTGAGCACAGCAATGTTTAATAGTTTTCGGACAACAGTGGAAGCTTATAGTACAGAAGAATAAGCTAACAGGTTTTTGGTGACATCAGTTCATTAACTTTCATTTTAGAAAAAAGAAGAAAGAGGGAAAAGAAAAACCTCTTAAAACCAAGTCACTCCTTAGAATAACCAGTGAAGACCTGAGGTGCCCCCTACACTCAGCTGTAGCTCCATGCATATTTTGCAACAGGACTTAATGGTTTAAAATGTCTTTATTGCATTACTGGCTGGACAATTTTAAAAAAATGCACACATGTAGCAGCTCATGCCTTCTTCAGGTCATAGCAATGAGCTGCTGAAGGCAGGTCCATATAGACATGCTCAGTTAACCAATCAGACCAAAGCACAGGTGTCTATTATCAGTCAAACAAGAGCTGCACCAACAATACTAGACTCCACCTACCAATAAATTCTTTTGGCTAGGCAATCAAGTGAGTGGATTATGTGAATTGATTAGTGCACACCCACTAAAAAGAAAACAAAAAACAGCAACAAAGCAAAAAAATAAATAAAAACGTACATACAAAAAGTTCAATACAGCCTCAAAGTCATAAATACACAAAATGTCAAACATTAGTATTGAAGAACAATGTTTGATAGGGATTCATACATATAAAAACAAAGATGAAACAAACCACACAACCATCACAGCAAAGGTCTAATTAGTTCCTTAGTCTCTCAGTAAGACCTGGACATTCCACAGCTTTCAGTTTGCAAATCCAAAAGGTTTCATATTAAAGTAACAACTTCAATCTGTCACCCACAGCTCATAGACTTTATCATCATCTCAATGCCCTGAATCTTGAAAGACAGAGTTTTACTGTAGTATGTGCGTTTTGCTATGTATGACGTTCATTAAATTTAATGATTTGTTTAATTTTAGGTCACAGCGATTATATTGTGCAATAAAGCGCAGTCTATCTATAGGGACATCTTTTATCAGAGTGTGTTTGAAAAGGTGCCTTTTTTTTTTGCTATTGCAGCCTCAATTAATTCCCCATTCACAAAATCTGGATTTCATTTCTTGAGCCTGCGCCTCAAATTCTGCCTCCTCATCACAAATGCATATTAAACGCTGGAACTGTCCAACAGCAATGTTGTTTTTCAGTCCCTTTGGATTTCAGCCCTCTGCAAAGTGCTCCTGTCCCTGCTTTTGCTGTGTATTTTAGTGTGAAAAAGACTGTTCTTATCTGTAATGACGGCCAGATGGAGGAAGTTGGGAAGTGTTTTAGAATAATCAGTTGATGATTTTATATTTGCGTTGATCAGACCATAAGGATGTTGTTGATGCGGCAACTCCAAAAATTTGTGTTTTTCCAAAAAGGGAAGTTTGAGTGATTGTAGAAGAAACCTCATTGAGGAAAACAATATATATACAGAATCAGAAAAATGAATTGTTAAATGCATCTTTTAATTGAACTCCTGAAACCAGTGAACTTGTTCTTAATCTGGAGAGAAACAAGGTATTGTAATATAAAGACTAAGAGCCAAACTTAAAGGGGAAAATGCCAGGGAACTGATTTGTTAATGAAAGAATTAGTCAAGGATGGAGGCAGAGATCTGCTGTGAAGTGGGAACGGTCATTATAGTCTATTATATCTTCCAGCAGAATCAGGTCTAAGTTGCCACGGCTCCATTTTAATGGACCTAAAAGCGCAGGGCAAAAGCCAGCATGCAAAATTTAAAAAGTTTACTGGATGCAAAAGTCTCTTAAAGGGTTATATAAAGCAGGCAGGCAAAACAGGGTCCAGATTTACAGGTTTAGTCAAAAACATGGGCATTCCTAACATGCTAGAGGTAATGCTGGAAAGCACGGTGACCCAGGGGTTTAAATCCAGAAGGAGCTGATCAGGCAAGTGGATGCAGGTGAGCGGAGAGGTGGGGAAGGTCAGGTGATAAATTAGCAAGAAACAGGGCAGGTGGGATTGTCCAGGTCTGAAATGACAGGAGAGTTAGTATGTGGAAAAACAGACAACCAGAAAGAAACGAATGACATGAGCAAAACCCACGACACTAAGCAGAGACAGATGAATTTTATGCACACATACTGCAGTATGTATGCAAGAAGTACATGTATATATGAGTACTTTCGTGCCAGGAGGTGCATGTAGACCAGAATAAAGGTTCAAGCAGTTCATGTGAATAAAACAATGAAACGAGAAACCGCTTATTTCTCAAAGTAATCTAATCCATTTTCTAAAACTTTATAATCCATTTTCGCATTTCCGCGCTCATTCTTCTCAAATTTAGGGATTCGATATTTTATTTTCATTCATGTCTGATTATTTCTGCTTATTTTCAGTTTTTCAATTCGATCTGCTTCACTTGAATTAAACCTCCACGGCCATCTTACAGCGGCGCTTGTCATCGCTGTTTTCATGTTGAATCTGATTTTATAACATGATCCAGACCCTCTTGAAATGATAAACAAAGAGCGGAATGTGGCATAAATCCTAAAAATATTTCATGCATACAGAGGGACATATTTAAATAGGTACTTTTATACAAGGAATGTTGGGCAACAAGAACTCAACACACCTGTATGTGCAGGCATTTAACAATACACATGAGTGCACACATAAATATGCAATTTTACATCACCTTCCTCTGTGCATTCCTTTGTTTGAGCCATCTGCAGCCGTGAGCTCGACCTAAGCTGCATTTTTTTTTTTTTTTTGACATATTAAGAACAGACAAAGTTCACAAACACACATATACATACACGGAAAACCACACTCAAACACGATGCAGCACAAGAGGTGATGATATTTTGATTGACAGCAGAGGATGTTATTGCTCCGCCTTCGGTCTTAATGTCATTCTGTCTGAGAGGCAGCCAGGAGTCAAACAGCACCGACACATTACACACATATATGCACACACTCAAAACAGGAAACAAAAAAATAACAAACTCCTCCTTTCGGCCTTGTGGTTAATTGATTAAATCTGAAAATGAATGTAAATATACAAAACATTCAGGATACACGCACGCACTCATCCCATAATTGGCGCTTTGCGTTCGCTCTCTTAGCATTAAGTCTCTTAATGAGAATCGACCCCGAGGCGCTCAGCGTATGATGTCACGTGTGGTCTCTGCAGGATGATGTCATCGGGTTGCTGGCTGACCTGCACATGAGACGCTGACCCTCCATCTCAGAGGACGAGGATTACACGGAAAAATGCACTTGAATGCTCAATCCAAATTTCTACCCGCATGCACACGGAGACACAAAAACTATGCAGCGTGACGACTGTCTGATACAAACAGACTTGGAAACGCACATGTGCTAATGACACGCACCCATACAAACCTTGTATGTGTTGATGGAACTATGACAAACAAGGAAACCTGTATTCAGTTAACTATTTTTGAACTCGTGCCTTTGCACACTGAAAACATGAGGAAGGCAGACAGGAAACTATTTGTATACACATCAGCAACTTGTTAAATATTGCATTGTTGCACTGTTAAAGTGAATATGAGAAACTCAGAGATTATATTAACAGCATAAATTTGTTTAACAGAAAATAATAAATCTAATTGTAAGAGAATCCACAAGGTCATGGTTTCATATCTGTTTGTCATGTGTCCAGGTAATCTTTAGGCCAAGCGTCTGCAGAACCAATCCGAAACCTGAGGGTCTAAGGACAAAAGGGTGTTCTGTGTGCTGTACACATTATGAAGCCCCGTGAGGCTAACTTGTGATTTCATGTGCTCATATGACAGATGTTTCTGGGAGCAGAAATACAGTTTGTGCTTCTCTTCTTTTACATCTTGGGCCGCTCGAACAGTGTTATCAATAATGTCGTACCGATTGTTGATGCTACGTCAACATGCTCTTTGCTGCTCTGAGTTGCACTAACGTAATTAGGCTGCTCTTGCTCTTACTGCTTGTTGGGTGGGACTCTGTTGTGTCATCGTCTGACTCTGTTGGTGTTCCCTTTGTTGCTCATTTGGAATAATACATTTATGATCCTCTAGACTTTCAGCTCCTGACAGAACAGAGACCAATGAGACCACTTCATGTAGTTTAGTTAGTGTTTTTAATAATCACATTGATAACCAGACTGAGAGAACGCAAAAATGAGCACTGGCAGCTCGTGATAAGCACCCGTAAAGTGTACCAGTCGGCTTTACCATAGTGGTTAGAATTTGTCAGCAAATGTTGTAGCAGACATCCAACACAGCTGTTTTGTAACTCTTTTTTGTCTGAACGGGCGCCCAGTTAAAAGAAAGAAACTTTGTTACCAGTGAAATAAGACCCAATTGTACTGCAGGATGCTTGTCATGCAGCTAAAGGAACTGCCAAGAAAAAAACATTTTATTTTAGATAATCATTTTGCCCCATTGCTGGTTTCCTCATTTTGGCTCAGAGCTAGAAGTTAGTGGGAGGCAGTGACGTGAAGAGAAGATATTTTCTGACGATTACGAGACGCACTGTCCTCTTGTGCTGTGAATCACCCTGTAAATATGTTCCCAAGGTTACTCAAGTCCATATGTGCAGGAGCTGCAGACACACGCAGAGAAATCTGCTAAATATTGAGAATTTAGTCATTTTCACCCCTTTGCGTGTCTGCTTGTTTGACAGATTCACATCGAGGCTGTGTGGCCAAGCTGTCGTTCTCTTGTCCTTTGAAGGGCCTCTACTGTCTGTACGCCAAGTCCTCCTTCAACCTGACCAGCCGACAACCTCATCTTTGGATTCACATCATGCTGCTACATCTACAGGTGCACCCAAATGTCCAACTGTGCAGAAGTACAAGCACAAAACATAATATCTACAACCATCAAACATGGCATGATAGTCTCACATACTGTGTGTCATAGTGCTTTGTTTTAAGAAATAAAAACTGTGTAAGGAAAGCGTGAACTCCCAAACACTTTCCTTTCTGTCATTAGACATTCATCAGGTAAGAAGAATAAGACGTGTGATCTGTTCATCAGACTGTGTGTATTTAGTATGTATTTCCAAATGGAAAGAAAATTCTACATTTGACAATCGACAATAAATAGCAACTACCTCAATATATACGCTGAAATTGATCAAATTCAAATCAATTTTTCTGGACTCGTCTTTTTCAAAATGACAATGATATTAGACTGATTGTAGATCTCAGAGTAACACTGTTACATTCTTTCACTGTCTTCGTGAACCCACAAAAATAAGCAATGGCTTACCATAATAGAAGATCACCACATTCCTTCATATAATAGTAGAAATAGCGAATAGAGAAAAATATGTATCATAGAAAAGGTCGTAGGGTCCCACAATTGTAATACATAAGCATAGGGATAATGAGAACCATGTGCAAAAATCAGCAAAACAGGGCGTAGATACCTCACAATACGCTACAGGTTACCATACTACTAAAAAATTGGTATTATTTTTTAGATAAATCTACAATATATTTTTAAAAAATTAGTAATAGGACCTTCTATTGCTTCTGTTGGGGTATCTATGCCCTGTTTGGGTGACTTTTGTACATTGTTTTCATGCAATTAGGCTATTTGGAAACCACTGGGGTGCTCAGCTTTGTTTCAATGATTACTGGTTTTCTAACTTAAATGTCTTTTTGACTACCTTAAATTCTTTGCATTTAGAAGTAAAACCTGAAACTGCAATCTTACAATCTGTTGATTCTGAAACATGCATTGCTGCATGTGAGAATGCTTGAAGAAATTTATAGCAGAGGGACTGTCCCGGAATGTAAAAAGTGGTTCAATCTGTTGCAAACAAGACTATCTTTGTTGGCCAGATGTTTTTATTTCTTTCTCCTACTTGCCCACATTTCTCGACTGTCTTTCTCCCAACCATAGCTCTGTTTTGAATAATTTTTTTTGTGGATAATTTTTTAATCTCCTGCTGTTTTATTTTTTCTCTCTTTTGACCAGAGTAAATCAAGTGTACCTCTGTGCACCAAGGACGAGTGCATCCAAAGACTGGCTTCTCTTTGGGAGAAGACGCAGCTTAAAGGAGCTCACAGCTTTTCTATGGCCATGACACAGCACACCACCCCACACAGGAAGGTACTGGACCTCAGTGTGTGTGTGCTTGTGAGTGTGTGTGTGTTCAGGCTGCTTCCTCGTAAAAGTTATCTGTCTCCAGCAGAGAGCATGAAGTCATCGGTTGTGTTAAAAAAAAAGAAAGAAATAAGAAACTCAAAGATAGAAAAGTGTCAACATCCACTTTGTTTAGATATGGAATGCACTAAATGGACATTATTGTATACAAGGCCTATACTCACCATGACTCCTCATCTGTGTCACGTCTGTGTGTCAAAAGATTGAAAACCTGACTGACCAGTGTGTGTGAATATGTGTCTGTTTCAGCGTGTTTTTGTAAGTACGCGGGTGTGGGTGGTGTTTCTCGTGCTGTCCCTTCATAATGTGACAAGCTAAGTGGTCGTTAGGAAATAATTAGACCCACAAAGAAAATACAGCTGTCGTTTCTCTAAGCGTGTGTTGCGACTGCGATGAGACGGACCGGCTATGGTTACCATATGGAGCTTCAACATACCAGCGCACATGTGCACACTCACACGTGTACACACATCCACTAACATTCACACAAAAATAAACACGTGTGCGCATACACGTTTAACGGATGGAAGAGTTGCTGCTAATGCAGCGCATGCTTTCACACACACGTCATGTTTCCATTACTTTGGAGGATACTGCATTGAAATACATTAATTTCCTGGAGATTTACTCTAAGCATAATCATAATTACTGCTTGCCTAAACCTAACCTTGTCCTAACCCGAAACCAAGTCTTCATCCGGAAATGTAATGATTCATCTTAAGGAGACTTTTGGGGTAAAAAGGACGGCGAGTCCAAGCGAAGTGACACATACATATATAATCTATACAGCATAGACATCTTTACTGTATCCGTCTCCAGTAAAATCTCTGGTTTACTTAAGCACCAGCAAAATACCTTTCCTGCTGATCACAACTGGCTTGAAGTGGACCACCTACCTGAAGCTTTAAAGCAATCACTTTCGTCTCTATTAAATATGAATCTACAGCCAGGAGCCTGACAGCTTATCTTCGCATAAAGACTAGAAATTGAGGGGAAACAGCTTGTCTGGCTCTGTTCAAAGATAAAATCCCTCTTGTAAGCACCTCTTAAGTCTCCCCTTGAGGATTGATTAAACCCCTAAAAAATAGTTTCTGGCTATCAAAGTTACATATTTTGCATTTTTTTCTATGAAAACAATCCCTTACTGCCTTAAAATGGCTTCAATGTAACTACAGAGTTGCTTCCTCTAGAAAGTTCAGATCTATGAAGTTGCTGCCCCTTTCTACCCCACTAACTGCACCTCTAGCACACCAGCTCACCTATTTAAACACTGTAAAACTACTCTATGTGAGGGATTTCAAGGGGGAGTTGCTTAGGCATGGTGAACATGTACATTTTAAAAAGGTAAAAATAACTGAATTGTCACTGGAGGTCTTTAAACTTATAAATTAAGATGTTCAGAAGCTGTACACAAACAAATATGTAAAAACTACAGTCACACTGATCAGATTTTTTTTCTTCCTGGTATCTATTGTGACCTTCATAATCAGAATTTCAGATGACACACTCAGGTGTTGGGATTCACATCTGTCTCCACATGCATCTTGAGTGACTGCGTCTGACTAGATCACATCACCCTGTGCTATAAACAAATCAAAACAGTTTCATCATTTCCATTTACAAAGACCAAATGTATGCAGGAATGCACTTTCCATGCATTGTCGGCCAAAAATTATATGTGTTAAAAACAAATAAAACAAAACATAGATGGGGTCTATTCTGTGGCATATTCCAGAAAATCCCATTGCCCTAGATGTTTAAAGATATTTGACAGACTTGTAATATATCTCTGCTTTTCAGGTTTTTTTGAAGTAATGAACAAAGTCAGCTCGTGTGATTTTAAAACAAGAATGTGTACGTATTTCCACTTCCATTGAGGTTGTCAGTTTAGTTGATGGTCCTTCAGTGTGACCCAGGACACGTTCACGTGCATATTGCTAAAATAGTGTTGCCTTATGTGGCCCAGAATATCTGCAAATGTGTCAGATCTCAATGAGTCCTTAGTGCATTTTGGATGCACTGACACCTATACTTAGATTTGTCTATTCATCTGAGATGGATGTTAGTGTCAGATGATAGCAAGGCGTGATTATGTGCTTTAAGAATAGTTGTGTGAGTAAAAACCTTTTTATCTGTCGATTTGTTGGAATGTCCGCCTGTATTTACGTCATGTAACAACAAGAATGATAAAATATGTAAGCTGTCAAGTCAATCTTCATTGACAAGACTATTTTCCTTCATCAAGCATTTATTTCAGGCATGCTTTAGAGCAATTTTCAAAAAAAGGGCACAGAAAATATCTGTTAGAAAACTGTTGAGCATAAATTATTGATACTGCTAACCACAAGTCAGTGTCAACATCGCTGCCCTCAAAGTAAAATGTACTAACTGTAAAGCTCATGCAGAGAGTGGCAAAAGGCTCGCTTTGCTTACTGCTGCAAAGTACCATAGCAGAACTTAAAGACTGCTATGGTACTTTGCAGTACCTTATTTCATTTTAAACTGCTTGGCTGATATACATTCAATTTAATAGCTTCAGTTTTGGCACTGATAGGGATCCAACGTTCCTGCCAAGCACACAGAATGATGGACCTTTAATGCCTGTTTTTGCTTTAAAAGAAATGTAGTCCCAGTGAAAAGAAGATGAGATTTAGCAGGAGAGGGGGAAGAAGAAGGTCACAACCTCTCTCTCCATCCATATGCAGCGCATTTCCTCTTTGCTTTCTTTCCTTCTCCATCAGACCTACAGCTCCACTCCGGTCCCTATCAACCAATCAGAAACACATGTAGTTAACAACAAGAGAAGAGATGTGAAGGGTGGAAAGCTGCTACATAAATGAGACAGAAAAGGTTACCAATTACATCTGTACCGACAGGGAGATTTAAAAGGAGACTATGGGGCTTTATGAGGCTTCACTGATTTAAGAGGAACTTATGTTCGCCTTCTGACAAGTCAGTTTAGTGGTTTTATGACACAGAGATAATAGGAAGCTTGTGTGAGCAAAAATGAGAGGGAAGGAGGGAGGTAAGGGCAACAAAAATGACAGGGAGGCAAGGATGAAAAGGTTGGACGTGAGAAATAAAGGAGGAAAAGGCTGAGAGAGGTGCAGTAATCAGAAAACGTAATGACTTTAAAGGATGAAAATAGTTAAAAAGAGAGAGAGAGTCTCTGAGAGGTTGTGAGATACAAATAAAAATAAATGAGTCATACAAAAATGGAAAGCTGTGCCATCACAGTGTTCATTCCAGTAAAGATGAGAGCAGATAAGTACGAGGGAGGAACGTAAAGTGGTGACTGAACGAATAAAGGCAATGTAGAGAAAATGGGCAAGATCAAATAAAAAACACACAGGCATGATAGAGCTGAAGCGTTAAAAAGGAGAGAGGAGTGTTAAAACCTACCTAAAACGACAGGAGAGGAAAGGGAGGATGAAGAGCAGCTAAAAAGAAAAGGCCACGATAAAGTTATAGATAAATGGAGGGAAAATGAATATTAAAGGAGTTATGTCTAATAAGAGGAGTCGAGGTATCAGTGATTGAGGTTGTGCTGGAAGGTCACAGACCCGAAATGAAGTGAAAAGGGAGTGTACACTGTAAATAAAAATCTGTAAAAAAAAATGTGACCCAGGTAGGTGGTATGAAAAGGGCCAAAAAAGGGGGTAAACATCTGTGAAAAAAAAAACAAGAAAGAAAGGAAAAAAAACAAGAAAAGCTATTTTTAACTTATTTAAATTGTAATTTGATGGTGACACCTTGTAAAAGAACAAATTGCTATTTGAAAATTACAGATTTTTGATGTGGACATTAGTTGTATTTTTTTTCCTGTATTTTATTTTATTTTTTTAACTTTCAACATTTAAATTAATGCATTTTTCTGTGATTTTACTGGATATTATTTGTTAGTTAACAAAACGGAAAATCTATAAAATAACAGTTTCAATTTTTAAAACTATTTTTCAATCCTTAATAGACAAATTTTTCTTAAAAACAAACAAACAAAAAAACAGTAACCAATAGGCTACCAATATTCGAAAAAAATATTTACATTTTATGTGGACATTATTTACAGTTTTAACCAGTTTTTTAGGGTTAACATAAAAAATAATACTTTCCTTGTTTATTATTATCTTTTTCTGTAATTCAATAAACCAGGGAAAACATGTAAAAAGAAAACTAAAAATAAAAAAAATCAGTCAGTTGTGCCAAAAAAAATGACAGTTCTTTCTTTACAATGTAGTCTAGAGAGAAGATGGTCATATAAGGTGCAGTTGAAGAAAAAAGGAAAGGTTAAAGAAAATGAAGAGCATGAATAATGGTATGGGAATAAAACGTTAAGCAGGATGAAGGAAAGTTTGGTGAAAAGATGATAAAAGAGTGGCGATTAGAAGGGGCAAAGCTTTATCTTACATAGTGGAAAGACAAGTAGAGGGAGAGAGGGAATGTAATATAAAAGAAGGGGTGTAAGGTAAAATAAAATAAGATATAGTGGAGTAATATTAACAGAGGAAGAGAAAGAGGAAAAGAGGGGAGGCAGATATGATGGGAGACTGAGGAAAGTGGAAGCCTGAGAGGGGAGATACTGGTGTTACAAGTATTGTTTGACCTTTTTTTTGTGGTTTGCAGAGAGTAAGAGCATTTGTTGATACAACCGTGGTGCCGATAAAGTTTGGTGGAGGGAGGAAGGCAGGGTACTGAAAGATAAAGCTAAAGACAGAGCTGTGGCTGCGATTAGATAAAGATGTTTAAGGACAAAAAAGAGAGAAAGAGGGGAGTTGATAGCTCTGTCCGTGCCTGTTTGAAACGTCAGGACCCCTGCTGTGGTCTTATATATATGCCCAGACAGGCCTGAAGATGAATGTCCACAGAGACGACTAAAGCCTGTTCCTTGTTTATTGCTTTCATCCATCTCCCCTCCTCTCTCCTTCCCAACACTCCCACTTCTCATCCACTCACCTTTCTCCTCACTCACACTCCCCTCTCTCCTCCTCTTCCTGCTTCACCCTCTCACTGTCTTTTCCCTCCGCTTCTCTCCTCTCTTTTCCTCACCAGTTTCGAATGAACTTTTGCAAGCAAACAACTGGACTAGCACGTGGTAAATTTAGTTGTGTGCTGCTTAAACTTCCCTATTTTAAGTTATTTGGATTCTTTCAATTTGTCAAATAAGAGATTTTCTCATGTTTTCCAAACATATAATAAAAAAATTAAAGAGGCTACATAAAAAACAGTGGTTTTAAATACAGATTAACTCCTAATTCAGTACATCTTTTGCAGATTCAGTACATCTGTTTATTGTTGCAGTTGTGTCCTGCCTGCAGTTGTCGTCAGCCTTGTGTACATGCTATCTCGCATGCTGATCAAATTATAGTTCCGATGTAAAAACAGTGATGGACAGAGGAGGAGGAGGACAGAGAGTTTCAGAAAGAGGTAGGGGGTGCATTGGAACGAGAGAGGGGGTTACATGAGGATAGATAGATTATATTCAGGCTCACATAATCCAGCCATTGTTCCTCCATCTCTTCTTATTGAATCCACCTTTCTGGTCCCAGTGAATCAAACGTGGGGTTGTGTTTGTCCACATCAGGCTGTTTCCTGGCTACAAATTTGTCACTCTAAACACAGTAACCTTAAAGTTCATTCAAACCATATACTGATCATTTACATTTGCTTTGGTACACACTCACACAGTGCAGTTTTCTGGTAATCAACTCAATCAGCAAATGTGAACAATCTTACTCATTTTGCTCAGTATCAGTGATTCATTTCTCAGTGTGTTATGCAGCAGTATTTGGCCTCTGTGTTCACTCTTACACATTGTTGCTCAACCTCTGACTCACAGTTTGTCTTTCATCGTCTTTCCACTTCTGCCTTTTTTTGTCGTCCTGTCGCTTTTTTTTTACAACTTTGCTTTGTCACTGGTAAACAATGCTAAAGCTATGTTAATTACTTTGGCTTTTTGTTTAGCCAGGAGCTGAATTGTCTAATCCAAAAAAGGTGCTTTTCATGTCTCTGAAAGCCAAAATGAGCCAGAGTGATGATTACAAAATGATTCAACGAGAAACTGTCGGGAGCTATTCCAGTTCGTCGGCCTCAAGACGCAACACTTCATTACTTGGATGAAAAACTTTTTTTTTTTTTTTTTTTTTAATCATAAGTTATCACCATTCAATGAGGAACTTTTAGTACCAACAGGGGGGAATACTTCCTGAAGTGAAAGTCCAAGTACAAATTGTACTTAAGTTTAAAAAATAAAAGTTCCCGTTTTGCAGCACCACTGAGCCTATGAATTTCTTATTGTGTAAGTATTACAATATTAAACTTTAAACACTGATGCATCAGTGTTTGTAGCATTTCGGTGTTGTAGATGGTTGAAGCTAAGCGTTTAACTTCTGCAAAAAAGGAGAGGCCCTGAAATGAGTCACACCTCCAAAGCCTGGACTGTTCGTCATAATGCAACTTCATAGTGACTTTCTCTGCTTGATAAATGCCCCCCCCCCAAGTGCCACACCCTCAGTTTATGAGGCATGCTTTCTGTAATAAATTATTTTGTCTCAACGCTGAGATATTTTCTCAACTTTCTCTACAAAGCCACAGAAGATTTTAATCAGCCATTTTCACCAGTTGACTTGGACTTTACGCTTAAGTGAAACAAGCTGAGTTCCCCTTTGACTACATGACTGGTAGCTAAATCTGTACCATTTCACTGTGTATCAAGATGGACGTAGTGGGCTGTCACCTATTGGTTCACTCTGCAGCCAGTTTAAATGCTAATGTTCAGCTCCATCTTTTTTGTTCGGTGCCAGGAGCTACCACATAGTGTGGATATTTGCTTTCTAGAAGCAAAGACTGGTCGTCACGTGTTATATATTTTGTATTCAAGTACTATCGTTTAATTAAAAGATTGATTGACAGCAACCTGTAAGGATGTTGCTTGTGTAGCTACTTAAACACAAACACAGTAGGGCTGCATGTCTGGAAGAAGCAAGAGGCACGTTGAGTTTAAAAACTGAGGAAAGCAGCAGGAGAGCAAACTTAGCCTTCTGCTCAGTCTAAAACCATTTTGACACAACAATACCACCAGCACACTTTATCAAAGGGCCGGAACTGAGCAATTGAGGTCACACTGACTCACTGAAAAGATTATTACTTCAGTATTTCTGGAGAAGTGATGCTGCTTTTTTAGCAGAATGAGTTCGGTAGAGTCAGTGATTTTTTGAAGTCAGCACCTAGTGGTCATCAGCAGCGCTGCACAAAAAGGTACAGAGATGCCAGTGCAGAGTTATAGTTACTACAGTCATATCCATGACGTGGACTAAATATTGCAGTCTTAAATATAGTAGAACAGAAGCATATATAAGTAGTACGGCACTGAAATAGCCAAGTTAAGTAATTAATGTAACTGGTTGTGGCCGTTTTATGTTCTCTTTTGCTTCTTGTACTTTCTTCCATCCCTCTTCTTACCTTCTCTGTCATTTTTGCTTTCACCTTTCCTGTCTTTCACACTTTCTCTGTATGGATTTTCCACCAGTCATTATCAGGATTTTTCTCTCTTGCAACATCCTAAAGACTGCTCTGTCCTCTGCACCCTTAGAGAATATTAATGTTCGTGTAAACCCACAGATGGCCCGTCTCTCTCAGACACACATGGTCCTGGTTTATCTGTATCTGCAGGCAAAGTCTTTTCGCCTCGGTTATTTAAGTTGTAGCAGGATAAAAAAAAGCTCTGATGTATGGAGGAATCTAAATGCACTGCCACTCTTTCGGTCACATTTGTGCTTGTTAATGACCAGTACTGAGTGTGTGTGTTCAAATGAGGGTTTGAGTTTGAGCCAAATGGGAATACGTCCATAAAAAACAGCTTTCACATTTACATCCTCACTCATTACTATCAAAGACTGAAGGGGAACAGGTCAAAAGGTCAGACACACTAGTAGCACAGCTTTACAGCTACCTGTTTTTCTTACATTCATTTAAATCCAGCTGCCTCTGGAGGTTTCATGTGATTCTAACGTTGTTGTAGTGAGAAATATTGCTCTCTTTCTTAATGGATTATCAGAGTGATGATCTGTTCAGTGTGTAAAAGCTTCAGTAAGGCTGTAGCCTCAGAGAAATGGTGAAGCAGAGAGTGTAAGCTACGTTAAACTGTGAACTCAAAATAGATAAGATCTGGTTAAGCACATAATAGCAATCACAATATGAAGACAAAAGTACAGAGATTTTGTTTTAGTAAAGATATGGATACCATAAATACAGTCTAAACACGTAAAGCAGAAACACTGTTTCTTTGTCATGAAGACTGATGACTGTAATCCATCATCTCCTTATTTCCTTCCAAACCAGCAAAAGATAAATATGTATTATCTCAAGGGTTTAAGTGTCACTGAAGTGTGTTTGTGTGTATTTAAAGTGAAGTGTAACTCTTACCATGTGCAGAAGGTCTTCAGGGACCTCTAATGGGGGTCTGGCCTTCCATAGCTTTCTGTTCTGACACACACTCAGATGCACATGGGAACTCTGATGTTTGTCAGTCTGCAGCACTTCATGACTGCAATGTCACGCTTTTAAGTGGCTACCTCCTAGAGTTGAGGGTCACTTTTGTGCGTGCGTGTGTGATTGGGCATTGGCAAGCACAGATTTTAAAAGCTGAGGGCTCTACTACAAAGTGAGATTAATGGGTTAGCGAGGTATGTTGAGCCTAAATCCAGAGTGTTCAGTGTCACAAAGGTGGTCGTCTTCTAACCTGCTGGATCACTCTGGTAACTTTTACGTCACCGATACTCTGCTTCAGGAGGGATGTTTAGAAATTAGAATTGACTTTAAGATGCCACTTCACCAATTCTTTTCCTGACATTTCTCTGAGTGATACAGATTATCAGCTGAGGGAATATGTTATATCTTGTGGATAGATGTTGAGCTGTGTGTTAGTGATGCGTTATGCAAACTGTATGTGTTGTATTGCTATGGCAACCAACATTCAGTCAGTAGGTGATGCAGATAATGTATAAATAGGTTTTTATGTTTGGTCCTGATGTGCTGCCTGATCGTGCAGCTAGTAGAACACAGACAGGACACCTGTTACTGTGGTATTTGTCACAGAGAATATTCAGTCAATCACGATGATTTTTACTTTGATTTGGCCACAAACTAAAGTGATTTCCATGTATCATCCTTCATAGGACAATGTCAGACTTAATTAAAATCAATGAAATCTATTTTTTGTTGAAATAAATGTTTCATATTCTTCATTGGTCTCTATTATAACAACCTGTTCTCCTTGACTTGCAGAAGAGTTTAATGACACATCAAATGTTCCCTTTTATGGGAGTGCACATAGAGCTTGATGGAGGAAACCTGAGTTGACAAAGAAACCACTGTGGTGATACCCATTATCTCTGACTAGAGTTTTAGGCTTTGTCAAACCAGCTAAGGCAAAGAAAGTCTGACTTTGTCAAACCTGCCCTGTAGTACACCTGTCTGACTTCTTTCTCCTTTCAGTGTTTTATGTAAATATAAACTAAGGAGGACAAAAAGGATGTCCTAAGATAGTCCACAGGATCAGGAGTGGTGCTGATGCATCGCTGTAATCTCCATAAACCCATATATAAAGCCTGATCTTTTCAATAACGCCCCATTACAATTCTTTGAAGTCCTTGAAATGTCTTCTAGTACAGTGTCATGTTAACCACAAAGTGAAGAATATGAATAAACAGCAGCCAGCAGTGAACAATGGATGCAAGGTTGTAACCAAAAACATATTCATCTGTCTACATTTTTTGTGCACCTTCATTATTTGAGTTACGGGATGAGATATATAATCACTACTGATCATGTCATCTCCACTAAGACATTATAATAGACATGTAACACAGGATGTTTTAATATGTCTGATGCACCATGATTTCATCTGTCTTTGTCTGCTATCTGTCCGTTTGCCTTCAGGACCTGGACAATCTTCAGATCCAGCTGGAGGAGGTGCGTTTCTTCGACCTGTTTGGTTACAGTGAGGAAGAAGGAGGTTGGCTCTGCTTCATGTGTAACAACCCTGAGAAGGCCACAGGTACAAACACATGTACACAAAGACAGGCAGAGTGGGTGGAAGGAATGAATGAAGGGATGAGCTGCTGTTTTCTGAAAACTGACCATTAAAAACAACTTAATACATGTTTGCGCTCTCATACATAGAAAATCAACAACCATCAAATTGCACACTTTGCCTCACATTCCCCTGTGGTTTCTGCTGAATTTCTCCCAGCTCTTGTTCTCTTCCCTAAACAGAGCATTAAACAAATAAAGTGGGATTTTGAAAATATTGCTTTCTCATTTCTTGTCATCTCACCAGCTTTCTTGGGCACAGTTGGGTTCCTCTGGGGAACTCCGTTGGATGTTTTCACTCCAACTGCCTTCAAGGGGAATAATCTTTTCCCAGAACAGTGAAGGAAACTGGAGCAAAGAGCAGCTTTTATTAAACAGCTGCCAGCCTGATTTTAGTGTTGTGAAGGGTCACTGTAAGTAGTCAATCACTGCCATCATGACTCAGTTGTGATTCAATGAGCGCATTTTTCCTGGTGAAGTCAGAGTTACAATAATGACCAAATTTAAACTGAATTTAGTTTGGTGTGTGTGTGTGTGCGTGTGTGTGCGTGTCTGTCTACACTGCAGCTGTACTCCACTGGACACCCTTGCGTACACCTGTTACACAGACATAGAGGCTCCTCACTATTCAGACTTCCCCACTTGCAGTAAGTTAGATTTATGCTGTTAAGTGTCTCTCCCCTGCTGCCCGTCCTTCCAGCTTGTGTCTCCACTCTCACGAACCCTGAAAACACAAAGTGATGAGTTGGGTGATGGGACAGTAAATATGCAGCGTCTATAAATCCATGAGCGACAGCTAAGAACATACAGGGGAGCAAATGTTGGGTTTTAAATCTGCATGTATCTCTCTGTCAGCCTCACATGGAAGCAGTTATTAGTTATATAAGAAGAAGAAGAAGGTCGTTTGTGGCAGATGACGAGTTCTGTTGGAGAAATATGGAGGGGCAGGAAAACGGGAAGGGAAGGTAAAGGCCAGTCTCCAGGCTCTGTTGTTTGATGGCAGCTAATAACAAGCCAGCAGGTAATTCTCAGAAAGTAAAAGCCAGAAGTAGGAAGCCGTATGTCGGCGGAAGGAAAAAGGCAGGTGGGGTGCAGTTAAAGTTTACCGTATACGTTAAGTGTGTGTTCATTTATGTTGATTTGCTTTGAAGGAAGAAAAGTTCAAGGCTGTGATGGGTACCACACTAATGTCTAGTTTTGTCTAATGATCAAAGGGATTCTAATGTCTTAAGAATATAAAGCTTTTAATTTGTTCAAAAAATCTAGAATACAACGTAGGTATTGCATGATCTTGACAAAAACATTTTAAAAAATTGCACCACATATCCTTCCTCAACAGCATATTTGCAATGAACTTCATTATCTACATATTCTGATGTGTCATTGTTATCGAACATAGTCTCAGATGCTTTTCCACTGAACTGTTGTGCACAGATTCCCCGCTTCTGTAGTGAAATAATTTGCAAACATGTGAAAAATCATTTTCAGCAAAAGGTCATATAGCTGAAATACAGTAATATATGGCGTTACTGCAATAGTAGCTGCAAGCATAAACCGATGTAGTCATTGAAGTAAATTTTAAACAAGACGATGGACAGTCAGTCTTATAATGAAAATGAAATGTGTTATCCTGAGCCTATAAGTTACAGCAGATGCTTGAGTTAGATCAGTACAAAGATATGTGTGTTTTTATGTCTGCTAGCAATTTCAGTAATTCCTGAACCATTAATTAAAATGGTAAATATTAATAATAATAATATTATCTATTGAAAACATAGACTGTATATTTTATATTATGTTATTATATTTGTTATATTGTTTACCCTTGGGACGTCACAGTGCTTTTTTTTCTAAATTAATTGAAATTTAGTTTCATTCAAATTACATACAAAAAAAGAAGAAAAAAAACAGTACAAGTAAAATATCAAAATAAAGGGCTATCTTGCTAACTACAATGTGGAGAAGTTTCACAGTCAGATGTCTGAAAATAAATCTAATACAACAGTTGTGAATTTGATTTAGGTTTTTAGTTAAAGAAATTACATGAAAATTCAATGTTTCTTTCCAGAAACAGAGTCACTGTTACTATGTTTAAATCCCCATTTTCAGAACACAGTGTTCACAGTTTTCCTGGAACTGCTTTTACTGAAGAAATCATCCAGATTTCTCCTGTCTGCAGTCTGATGTGTGAGCCAAGACCTCACTGGAGAAGAGCCTCCCCTCCTCACAATTCCCAACTGAACCTTCAAATGTATCCATAGCTTAGTCATACACACGCACAGAAAAATACAAAGAGCAATCCAGCTCTCACAAACATTTCTTATTAGAGCCACAAACTACTTTATTATCACATATTAAAAATATTAAGGATAATTTTTGCACTTTAGGGCTGCAGGCTGGCTCGGTGGTTAGCACAGTTAC